ATCACAAAACAAGTGGTTAGCACACTTGCCTTTCACCTCTGAGGCCGCAGGTTCAAGCCTCAGTGAGTACTTTCTCAATGCGACTCGAACCCAGTCCTCATGTGAAAAGAGTAAAAGTCAACGCTCTGCCGAAGGTCGTGGGTTTTTCCCGGGCACTCCGGTTTCCTCCCACAGGGAAAGTTGACAGGGTGGGTTAGGTAAAAGGGCCCACAGTAATTGGCATATGCTGTTGTAGTGACCCTGCCCTAGTTGGCAAAGCTAAATAAATATGAAATGGGGTGTATTTTCAATATTGCGTTACTGGACGTTTGCAAATGTTCAATAATGTTAACGCATGGACGGCATGGTAAATGTTTTACTCTTAACGTTAATCAACTTGACACAAGAACTTACATCTTTCGCAGTCTTGGCATTCGCCTCCTCTAAGGCTTCGTTAAATGATCCAAGGTAAAAATGTGGATGGCAGTGGCCATACCTACAGTAAATCACAAGAAAAAGCGATAATTTACTGTACTTTCATGAATACAGCACAGTAGAAAGCACTTTCCTGGGCGTTGCAAAGGCAGGCTTTTAGCGACGTTCAAGCAAAGTCGACTTTCCTCGCTCCAAGCAGCAAAAGCACCTTGTTACTACCTACAGGCATCGTTTGTTAGAGGGCGTGGTGGTTTTCCGGAATAAGTAGCATTCACAACTCAAAAAGCGGCAAATCTTCAAGGGGGTGCTGCACACCAGTAGGCGGGGTGCGCAACCCCCCCCCCCCCGGTAGATCTGCCGCTGCTTGGGTGTTGTTTGCTTCAATGCTAACGGTATATTACCGTAACAGTACTGACCTAGCCAGCTGTCAGTTTTAAGAGGTTGGGAAGGCCAAACCTTAAATCCCAACCTTAGGAAACGCTATTGGCACTAGATATGTGAGTTATTAAGTGGCAACAGGTACAGCATACCCATGGTGTTTAGCTGTCATATATCAGTTAGGACTCTTACCTTTCTTCGAAATTACTAACAAATGTCGTTAATGTTTCTCGAGTATCTCTACTGCGAGGCGGTACTGCAATGCATAAAACATATCAATGTCAAGGAAATGTGCATCGTGTCAAGTAATGCACGTGATTATCATTCTGAACAGGTACTGTATAGGGTTCACAATGCACTATCAGATTCTTAATCGCCTCCAGCATTCATCAAAATAGGGAAATGTTTATTATTTTTACTATATGCCGTAGTCTTGCATTATAGTCTTGCACCTATAAATGTAATCATATCTATTGTTGACCACCATCTGCTACTCCGTAGAGCTTAGTACAACCCAGCAATTGCATATTACACTGGTGTACATGAAATGTCACTCACTCAAGTCTTTGATGGTTTTTCTGATCGGAATTTCTTCTAAAATTATATCATCGTCATCATCTTCAACTTCAATTTCGACAGAAACATCACTACACGTGCTTTCATTATCGTCACAAATATCCATAGCTTCTTCTTCGTCGTCACTTTCCACCTGAATAACAGATTTGACCTGAAAGAATCAACACAAAACAACCAATTTCGTTCAACACATTCAGAGGAAACGGGATCCAAATAAGCAGTTGAATAACTTGTTGAAGAATCAACTTCTATTTGTCCCAACCTGGTATCGAGTACAAGGTCTTTGGTTTAAGGGTCTCTGACGACTGAGCTGGGATCTCATTCGATAGAACTACAATAACTGTTGAAGGGCTTTTTCGAATTCGAAAATAAAAATTTCGAGTGAATATTACATACATTTTTAGACCTAACCAGGAGCTGGTTACATGAACTTGTGGTTACTGCTCGGCAGCTGGACTCTGTAGCGCAGTTGCATGGTTAGACCAGGGCCCTGGTTAGACTTGCCAAAGTCGCTCGCGCTCGCTGCTCGCGTTTCGTTCAAGGTCGACTTGTGGCAAGTCTATTGCATGGTTAGAGCGCTACATCTCAATCGGAGGGCCGCAGGTTGGACCCCTGCCAGAGGGCCGACAGGCATTTTTCGCACCTGCTCCTGATTAGGTTCAAAATGTACTATAATATATATATGTTATTTACCGGCTGCGAGGTCCGTACTGAAAAAATATTTTTCCCGAGGTCTCAGAAGCTGCCCGAGGCCTAAGGCCGAGGGACGCTTCTGAGGCCGAGGGAAAATATTTTTTAGTACGGACCGACCTAAACGGTAAATAACGTGTTTATTTTTTTATTTGATAGTTCATGGTTATAATGAATTCCGATAAAATTCCAGTTGCGAAGTACATTTGAGATCAGTTGCGTTTGTTACTTTAGTGCAAGCATGGCTGACAAACTGCTAAAACGACGCGAAAAAAGCTGGATAAAAAGCTTTTAGTTTCATTGCAATAGATGCTTTTCTACTCAACAAGAAAACAGAAGGTAAACAAAGTAAAAATATTTATTTTCCGATTTGTTTTACAGCATGGACATGCTTGAAAAATGCTTTTTGAAAGAAAAATACAAATTTTAGTTGCCGAAAAACAATTTGTTCATTACAACTTTTATAAAAATTTTGACCGAGATAATTTTGACCGAGATAAGCCTAGGATTTGTCTTAAAACTTGGCATTTAAGGTACTTTTTAAAAATTTTATGTTTAAGGACAAGTTGTACGTTGTACTATTTATATTTGCTGCCGAAGGCAGCCTCCTATTCTTGACGATGTGTTATAGCGCATTTGAATTTCCCGCCAACAGTTTTATACACTTGAAGCGTATCTCGATTTTTTTCGTGTTTGTCGGCAGTTTGACGTCATATTATGACGTTGCAGAAAGGAATTTACATTGCAGCATTATCATACCCCAGGAGTTTACGATAGCAAATCGATGACTGCCGAATACTTTGTTCAGCGATCTACGAACGACGTTCCAAGAATGGCGTTTAAAAATATTTCGATTTGCAGCTAGTGTGAGTTTGTGCCTTTGTGGCATACACTGATCTGTGGTGGCATATATAAACACGAGGCCAGGAGCGAAGCAAAGACATTTTTTGTGTAAATACTGGCCTTATCATATTCAAGTGTTGTGAGAAAGGGAGATCTTTTAGAGGTATGTCAATTTGTTCGATTTTGTTCGCCCAAAACATTACATATACTAATATATGAGATAATATAGTGCTGAGAAATGTCTGTGAGTGTGATCCTGTTTATTGACTTTTACCATGCTATACTAGCCTATACATAGTCATACATATTAAATATTAAAATGCACCTATAGCTATGGCCATGAATGTTTAACTACACGGTTGAGAGATTTTATATATTTAAATGTAGCATATTCATCACAAACTCTATGTAACGCGGAATGTTGTACCTGTATGCAATAAATATATTCCTATCATTGTATCAACCCAGCGTGGATTGTTGTCTGCATATATTAACTTTAATACCAGCATGCAGTTACAAGATGTGATGGTCAGACTAAAAATATACCTTTGACATATGTTCATTGTTAGCACAATATGAAAATTTATATTAATATCCTACCGGCCTTCATTCATATATTCACCTGGCTATGTCACCACATTTCAGGGTACACTATATTTCTCGATAATGCTCACAATTTCTTTCTTATTATATAGTTTTGTAGTTCTGACTGTGTACAATCTTAAGCCCCGTTTACACTACGCTCAAGTTTTGGTACGGCACGGATAAAATTGGTACCCGTACCACTTTCTTGGTTCTTGGACTACCTATTTAGGTAGTCCAAGAACCAAAAAGTGGTACGGTACCAAAAATTAAGCGTAGTGTAAACGGGGCTTACCTGTAGCTAAATAGGTAGTCAAAGAACCAAAAAAGTGGTATGTGTACCAATTTTATCCGTGCCGTACCAAAAATTGAGCGTAGTGTAAACGGGGCTTTAGTCATTACAAAGAATGGTGTCATCTGAGTTCTGAAGCTGATGTATTAAACAAAAATGTCAACAAGTAGATTTTGTCTCCCCATCAGCAGATTGTTCAGTTGTTCTGCAATAGGCGTAGCCTTGAAGGTGCCATTAAAACGATAATTGGGACAAAAACTGACTTAGTATTTCTATATATGAAATTGTTATTAAATTCTACATGTCCAATGGATTCATTCAAGTATCATTATTGTTTATACATATGGTATTATTGTACAGTATTGAGTGGCAAGCTTGAATGGCAACTGATCATGGTATGCTAATAGACCTGCAATGCAAACATTAAAAACCGTAGCATGACCTGTTGCTAGGCTAGCTTCACCACTAACAGTATTATAATTATAGATACAAAAGCAAGAAGTTATAAGCATTGAAGGTATTCATATGAAAACGGCCATGCAAAGAAAGTATAATTAGATTATTTAGCTGACCTTTGACTTTGTGCAAGGTGTTGGTATTCAAATTGCACTTTTCCTACATACTGAACAGGCATCTTAGGGGCTGTTTACATGATGGAAGGTGGGATGATTTTGATACTACAAGATGCTCTACAACATTTGAGTTCTGTTAACCAGCATTTGAACTTTCGTTTAGCCTGTTCACTTATTTAAATACATCTAAATCATCCCACCTCATATCTCATCCTGGCAAAGCGGGATCATAAAAATAGCCCCTTATTCAGCAAATTGCGCATGCTGCCTTTGATCCCTTGGGAATGAGGCAGCACTTTCCTTGCGATAGTAACTTCTAGTTATACGTATATTTTCGAAGAATAGCTGAATATATGTGGAGCATTTGAATCAAAATATGTAGCACTGGCCAGTGTTTTTTCGATGTTTATGTTGTTTGTTTTCGCATTTTGGTCGGAGAAAAGTACATTTCGGGCTTGGCATTAATTCCACTGAAGCCAATTCACTGTATTTTACTGTCTTTAGTATCGATAGGGTGGATTTTTAAACTTTTTGGGTAGTGTTTTGAGTTTGAAAATTGTCTTCACTCCTTGGTTTGTCGCTAAAAAATAACTCTTTTGGACCACGGTCAAGATATCGTAAAAAGCTGCCCGCTGCTGCAGCCAATCAGATTGCAGGAAATCAAAAAATATCACTAGGCATGCACAAATAAAAAAATAACTAGAGAATAATACATGGGTGCGCGGAACTACCAGATTTATTTCGAGTGTTGAACATGATATCTCACGAGTGAGGGCGATTTCTGTTTATTGTATAAAGGACACTATGACAGTCTTTGAAAAGCGATTATTTTTACAGAAAAGCGATAATTGAAAAATGATAATTTACACACGTAAAAATATCGTATTTTTTACGTATGTTTAAATACGATTTTTCTCAGTGGCCAAAAACTCTATATAACACTTATGTTTATATAATAAAATATAGTATTCATTCGAAATTTATATCTTCGAAAAAAGCCTTTAACGTAGTTACTACATGAGTAATGCTCAATGCGCAATGCGCATGGTTAATGCTCGTCAACTGAACTCGCTCAGTTGGTTAGAACGCTGCGCCGGAATCGCAGGGCAACAGGTTCGTTTCCTGCCAGTTGTTGCAGACGAACAAAGCAATAAAAAAAAGGTTAAAAGCGAGCGAGTGTGGAATGATACCGAAACAGATAAGCTGATAAGTTTGTATAAAGCAAGAAACTGTTTGTGGGATGTCGATAATGTAAAATACTCAAACAGAGACGAAAGAGACGAAAAGCTGAGATTGACGACGAGTTGATAGAAATTTGGCATCGACAGAGAAGAATACAAGGACTGATTTACCCTGAGCGCTAATGTTTCTCGCTGATGTTTCCTAGTGTTTGCCCACTCTGTGAAACATGGCGAAACATTGGCAGGAAACAATGTTTCCGCAATAAAGCTTTGCTGTGAAAGTCAATCGTAACGTTTCGAGCACTGCACATAATAAGCCAATCAATAACTAACCTTTGGTGGAGATCGACCTCTCGGGCTCAGCCGTCGTTTTAAAGTTAACAAGTGAAACGTTTTGTTGAGATCACCAAGTTTCGTCTAAATAGAATTAAAGGTTTAAAAAGATTAAGATGGCCGAGAAAATGTAACCTGCGCGCAGTCTCGTGACAGTCTCTTACATCGTTCAAGATTGCGGGCCAAGGAAATGTTGAAAGAAAGTTTACTACAGTAAATACCTGGTCATTGACTCGCTCAGGCCAACCAATCCATTCCTGGTAACGAGGTTCAACATTTGTCAGATCTCTAACATCCGTTTTTATCTGCGCATTGAAGAAGAGGTATTTTTAATTAACTCAATATACACCCACGGCGTTAACGCATGAAATTCAGAGAAACAGAGAAAAATTAAAGTATAATATATGGTACTGGTAATAAAAATAACTTCCATAAAATTAATTACAGTACGACAGCAAAAGGGGTTCCACAGCAAAGTTGGCCGCTTAAAAAGCCTTTAATCACTCAAATACCTCATTGGTGGTGACGAATTGTAGATAGCATTCTATAATAAGCTACCACATTATTTTAATTTAAATTCTATATTCATATTTATGTAAATTCAGAGAATGAGTGAAACAGATCTGTGTAATCACAGTATATTTGCATGAGTTTGGGTTGAATCATTACAATACTTCGACTGTGAGTACAAGATAACAATGAAAAAAGAACCTTTCGACGATGTGGATCTTTGTGGTTCAGATTTGTGAAACCCCTCACCCCCCCCCTCAAGAAAAAACAATTGAACACAAGCAACCTGCATGCTGGAACGTACGATGAAAAGCCACTTACCTCTCCTATTGTTTTCGTTCCAGGAAACGTCAACTCATGTTGTTTATTGGTATACCGAATGTTCAGTTTGACTTCCGGCACACCCACATGACGACTGTTGGAATAAAAAATAGACTACAGTAAAAACCCACATAAGAGAAACAGTAGATTTTGGTCCTTATATTACTGCTTCTTATTATGAAGCCAGACAGAGTCTTGTTCTGATACTGTACTTCAGAAAACTGGTTTTATTTGTCTTTTATATTGCATTTTAATACATATACCAGTTACAGTGACGATTGCTATTTCAAAGATTCTGAAATCTTGTTGATTACTACAAAGACGGTACGTTTTTTATTAGGGGTGCACCGGATTTCAAATCCGGCCGGAATTCCGGCCGGATTTAACGAATTTTCCGGCATCCGGCTTCCGGCCGGATTTGGAGAAAGTCCGGCCGGATTTAAATTTCTGTTTTCACCTCAAAAAATTCACCAAGAATGGGGTAAACCATCAAATTGGCAGCTTTAAAGTTTAACAAACACTTATATTATTATAAAATATTAAGTTATTAACAAAAAGATATTTTAAAAAGGTTTAAACACAATAAAAAATCTAAACTGACACTAACTAAAAATAGTAAAAAACATAAACCGCCATTTTGAATACTGAATTATCACAATTTATCCCCAATTGTCCCCATTATCGGTTTACCTCAAATCCGGCAAATCCGGCCGGAATTCCGGCCGGAATTTTTGTCCAAATCCGGTAAGTCCGGTTCCGGCCGGATCTGAAAATTCCAAATCCGGTGCACCCCTATTTTTTATATGACTAGGTACTGTATGTAGTAGCTTGCAACTGCCATTAGAACTTGTTTTGCACTTCAGCTAAGTACAAAGGTTAACGTAGTCAATAGACAAATTATTGTCCAAATTTCAGAGGCTAGTTTTCTTAATTCACTGATAGTTTACTAACTAAAGACTACAAAAGTATTGATGGTCACTCATTTTGTTTCACTGAAGTATGAGTTCTAAACATACTAGACTAAAAACAATGAGTCGTTAATAAAAATTCTTAGCCTAAAAGTCTAGTTATTGTTTCGTGTGCACTCAAGAAAAATCAGAATGGAAGCAAGAATGGAATCAAAATGGAAGAAAGTTTCTTAATGAAGAGTATTTCGAAAACAAAACAGTCAAAACTGCTCCGGACACTTTTTCAAAATACGAAAACTGGCTTTCGTCCTCCGTGAAGAGACCGTGACTGTCTCTCCAGAGCAAACTCAATTAGTGTCAAACACTTTGTTTGACCTTTAGCCTACGATTTTTTATTAATGTATAATGACACATTGTTTTATGCTTTTTTTTAACTCTAAGTACATAGAACTCATAGTGTTACTTCATGTTGACTTGAATACTGCATGCAAGGTTAAACATTCGTCTAATGAACTCGCGGATAAAGTACTGTTTAGTAGTAATGTATTGCATACATGTTCAAACTACTCATTCGTTTAAAATAAACTATAATGGTTTTTACGTCATAAACAAGAGCAAGACAGTAGCTTCCGTACACAGTACGCGACTCTACACAATATCCTACACAACGACAAAACATCTATTCGACTTTTACCTGGATTTAATCATTCCGTTGTTCATGGTTGATGAACACTGAGCACTAGATTCACCACAGCTGCTGGTTTCCGATGGCGTTAACAACACTAATGACGTTTCATTTTCCAAATTTAAACGAGATAAAATAGTCTAGACAAATAACATTTAGTATATTACTTTATAAAATAACATGTATATAACGCGTATTCTGATTGGTCGAAAGCCGTGTTTGGATCAGGCCATCCAAACACGGAAGACTACCGTGTTGTTGTTATTTTATAAAACAATTACTTTATGGTTTCCGTGTTTGGATGGACTGATCAACACTTGGGAATGTTGCTCGAGTTAAGAAAAGCGGGCAAAATCACTCGCCTTCGGCTCGTGATTTCGCTCGCTTTTCTTAACTCTCGCAACATTCCCGCGTGTTTGGATCAGGCCATCCAAACACGGAAACCATAAAGTAATTGTATAATCATGGAGTAAAAACAACTTTAGCTGTAAATTGTAAAGTCCCTTTGGATTGCGTGGAAATCAGTTCCAGACTGTCACAAAGGTACAAAGAAAAACCAGAAACATGGTATTTTGCCGGTTGTTAAAGATCCTAAGCCTTGGATGGAAAACCTTACGTCAGTAAGGAAAAATCAACAAAGTTGGCAATGCTCCCCTTTTACGAGGACAACACAACAGGTTTTAAGGTTTTGGTTTCACAACCCCCCCCCCCCCCACCTACGGAGAGCCACACCATATGCACGCACTTCGCAATGCCATGAGTTTTTGGGGGAAGGGGGGGGGGGGAGGTCAGGTCACTCTGCTGCAAAACGTGTTGTGTTAACAGAGAAAACAGCTGGAATTTCATCCATTTCTAGCTCCGTCTCTTCTGTTAATACCACACATTTTGAAGCTGAACCACCCAAGGCGCAAAGTATTATGGTATTGGCGAACAGAGTGAATATATTTGAAGATTTTAATCCAAGCATTTTATGTCTTTATTTGTACAAATTTTTATTTATGTACAATATGTACATACAGATACGTGATTGCATATCTGCAGATACTATATGATGTACTGTGTAATTTGCAAGTAAAAATGAATTTAAATAGAAGTTAAAGGACATATAAGTACCACAGTATATCCATACACTTACACTGTCAGTCACAGAAATATCCTTGGGCCATTGAGATAACTCATGCAGCGCTGTTGGTACACCAATATCTTTTTCTAGTTCTTTTTTCAACATTGCTACAAATACAAACATCGGTCGTTCTTTCCTTCAAGCTTCGATACTGATTTCAAATGTAGGGCACTGTAGGGCACACAATAATTTTGAAAGACCTATAAAAGTCTGGTACCAAATATCACAATTCACAGTCCCACCCATATAACGTAATTGTCATAATGACTATTAAATAAAACCATGGATAAAACTTAAGCTAAAGTTAGCAATATAGCAAGCAATATATGATTCTGTACAATGCATGATGCCACAACATACGCATTTTATAAAACCTGTTTTGTTCTGTGGAATTCATTACAGCTATACAGCTTTTAAACCGCTAGAATTGGTCGTTATAACTGCACATTAAACAACAACGCTAATCGACATGCTTAATTGATTATCTTAGAAAAAGTATCTAATGTCAGTCAAATGGAACAACTCTGGACTCTTTATTCATTTCATCAAGTGATCCATATTCTGAAAAAATCTAGGCCTCTTTGGCATATACATGTTGAAAATCCGCCCCCCTCCCCTCCCCCTCTCTCAATATTTCGTGAAGTGTCGGACACTGGGCAGCAGTAAAGCATGAATAATGAATAATTGCGGTGCTCAAAGAAGTTAGGCATCACTTCATATTCGCTACGTGAGTTTGTTAGTCTGCTAGTTTGTTCGGAATCATAAGCCTTGGTATTTCTACAAAGTTATGGATGATTAATATTTTATCATACTTGATGAGTTGTGCAGGGTGTATCAAAATTGGTAATCCAACTTTAGCATGTTCTTGCGCATTCAATATTGAGCGCATAGACTTTATATCACTCCAAGCAAAAAGGACCAAATACGAGGTCGATTCAATGAATTGAAGATCCAACTGGATATATTTTCAATAGGTGCAAACCCAATGGACCATTTGCATAATAGACTAAATTTTGATCTAGACAAAAATTTCATCACAGCTTGAAAGAGCATCACAAAATTAGTAATATTCCAAAGTTTCGTTGCGAAATGTTGTAAAATGCGGATAATATAGCCTTGCGAAGTTTGCCGTTTTTCAGTCATTTTGTATTACGCACGGGAAATTGACAGCCCAATCGGGTGTTGGGGCATCACTTTCCCGTTTGTACTACATAATGAGTGAAAATTGCAAATTTCGCAAGGCTATATTATCCGCATTTTACAACATTTCGCAACGAAACTTTGGAATATAACTAATTTTGTGATGCTCTTTCTAGCTGTGATGAAATTTTTGTCTAGACTTGTTTAGATCAAAATTTAGTCTATAATGCAAATGGTCCATACCTAACGGTGGAAAATACGATCTCGATGTTATCAATGAACTCAATATTTAGTCGGATTACCTTTTTCTATACACCGCGTGTACTATGATGCAAGTCCGGTTGATTTTATTAGAAGAAAACATGTTAAGTGATTCATGCCTTCATGGCTGCAAAAGTTAACCAGCTATGAAGCGGCGCTACCTCCAAACTCCAAATTATGCGCTTTAAGGCCTTCGAATTAAGATTTCTGCAGTTACGCGGAGTTAGTTACAATGTAAACCTACGTCATGGAGTAAATGCGTTCGACTCCAAAAGTAGTCCAAAATAAGGATAAAATAGCTATTGAGCCAAATCCGAAAGCTATCGGGGCATAATCTACCCGAGTCGTATACCAGTTGGAATTTGATATCAGGATCCAATCTTTTCCACGAATTTTGGTTCTCTTGGTGCTCGCTAGAATCCGACCATACCTACCTCCATCCAAACATTAGAGAGTTTAAGTTCGACTTCCAATACCAATACCGATGTTTTCACTTCCGTTCTCATTTTGGTACCGGGAATTTTAAAGCGTTAAGTTATCACGACAGATAAAGTATAGAACACATTAAAGCCTGGTTCACACTGGTCGTATTTCATCGGTGATCTATTGTATTCTCTTCCGACAGAAAAAGGATTTTCCACACCAATGACCACAGACAATGGAATTCCCCGATTCTTAGGACCAGTGTGAACCAGGCTTAACCGTCACCGTGTGCGGTATACTAAACGGCAGCTGAGCTAAAATTCCGACTGAAACATGACTCAGGCGATGCTAATAAACAAATAGTTTACATGTTTATCGTAAAAATTATGAATATCCGATTTATATGAGTTTATCTTACAATTCCCTCGACTTCCAATACACGGCCGACTTCGGTAGTGGTGACTTCCAATACACTTGTCCTTGTACTTCTTGCAAGCAGAGAGCATGCGCATGACATGTTGTTAGTATCGGTATTGGTATCGGAAGTCGAACTTAAACTCTCTATTGGCTAAAGTTAGTACTACAATTTTTACTGGTGATTTTAATTACAGTACTAACCAACTGATGAAGTGTCATGTAAGGTTACGGCTATAGTTCGATCTCTCCATTCAACATTGAACTGGAGTATTCTTCCTGCAGAACTGTCACTTCTAGAGTTCTGACTTTCACAGCTGTGACTCCCAGAGATACGACTTTCAGAGCTAGGAATCGAAGTGGTGACTGGTGGTTGAGCTTGAAGTTGTACGCTGTACATAACAGAAACACAAAGTATTAGTAATTCTCACCTTCCTGTATATTACTCACTAGCTCAAATATGCCAAACTACTGTACAAATTCCTGATAAACAATGTTTGATGAACCAGCTCAGTACCTTCTTGTGGTTAAAGAATCTCCAATACTGTCCACTGTATCCAGTTGTTCTGATGACCGATTGGCGAATACGGAATTGACACATGACTGCAAAAAATAAATTTATTCAAAAATTCTGGAATTTTCTAAAATGCTGAAAGCAGTAAGAACAGTTCAGTTCCTTTTAGAATCAGGTAATCGTAATCTGATGCTAAAGATCAATGTCCAGCATAATTTCAGTAGAATAACAGCCACAACGAAATGAAATTTTGCAGTTCTATTTACCCAAGTTCTATTTAGGAATTTACCTTCAGAGTTAATAAAGTGGGATGCAAAATTACAAATCTACAGCATATTGAATAAATTACAACTAAGGAGCACGGCATTTTCATGGAATTGTTTTAACAGCACCAAATATGCCAATGCATTCCCAATCTTTTTCCCGATCGGTGTATTGAGAATATCGAGTTTGAAGCAACAATTCCCTTCCCCACAGTAACTCCTAGCTACGAGAATTCTACAAGATCCTACATGATCCTGCTCAGGATTCTTCATCACTGCTCAGGAGTATTCATCATTGCACAGGATGTTGCTCAGGATTATTCATCATTGCACAGGATGTTGCTCAGGATTCTTCATCACTGAAGAGGATCCTACTCAGGATTCTTCATCACTGAAGAGGATCCTACTCAGGATTCTTCATGATTCGACAGGACCTTACGCATGACAGTTCATGATTCTACAAGATGCTGCTCAGGATTCTTCATCACTGAACAGGATCCTACGCAGGATACCTCATGATTCTAGGGGACCTTACGCAGGATACTTCATGATTCTAGAGGACCCTACGCAGGATACTTCTTGATTCTACAGGACCTTACGCAGGATACTTCATGATTCTAGAGGACCTTACGCAGGATACTTCATGATTCTATAGGACTTATATACGCAGGATACGTCATGATTCTACAGGATGCAGCTCAGGATTCTTTATCACTGAACAGAATCCTATTCAGGATCTTACACAGGATTGGTCATGATTCTAAATGATCCTGCTCAGGATTCTACACGATATACAGGGCATTATGCAGGACTCTTCCTAGTAATCAGGATTCTACAGGATCTTACTGAGAATTCTTCAGCGTCTTAATAGAATCGTTATGATTCCACAGGATCCTAATCAGTATTTTTCTCGATTCTACAGTACTCTGCTGAGGACTCTAGATGATTCTACAGGATCTTACTCAGGATATTTCATGATTCTATACGATCCTACCCAGGATTCGTCTTGGTTCTACAGTGATATGGACTTTAAATGATGTACTCCAGGACCTTAATCAGGATTCGTTATAATACACCCTTCCGGAAGTGTGTAACTTTGGCTATAGAGCCTCCAACCTCGTTCCCCTCTTGTGGAGGAAAGACCCTGGTTGGAGGTGGTCACGTGACCCATAGAAAATTGATTGCCTAAGGGAGTAAGGGAAAAGTCTTATATTACATGCTTCCACTTCCGCACTTTACATTTCGATTGCAAGGAGTGAGTGTACTGTACCGAGAATCATATGTGCTTCAAAATACTTGCTAACTTTGATCTGCATTTGTTTTTAAATTATAACAATATTCTAAATAGATTTTTATAGCAACAGACAAGTCAGGAAAACAAGCAATAAAAACGTATGATCGTATGCTTTGAAATTCTTCTTATGTTCTCTCGGGTATGTCACTAAATGTGGTTATTTCGAAACAGTATAAACTTTACATTGATTTATTTACAGTAGCAAGTGATTAATATAAACAAGACGCCTGCTCAGGCGTTCACACTGGCCTCGCGGTTGCATGGTAAAATACCATCGCAATATTCTAAAAAATAATTTGAAACATGTAGATATTCAAAGGACAAAACAAACACAATAAATATCCATAATAAAAATCCATACAAAACCAATAGAGTTCAGCGATATCTTAACGAAAAACACAGAAAAATTCAAGCGCATGCGCAATGAAATATAATAAAATACGTCCCACAATTACAGCATCTAAGATTTGTAACGTAGTTAAATACGAGATTCGTTCTGTTTAACATTGTTTAGAGTTGGTCCTGAGCAGCGTGAACATGTTTTAGCTAAATTGCGCAATCCTGAGCCCACGATGCCGCAATGGAAAGTCACACTTGTAAACACTTGCGACAACAACAAAAACCCCGAAAGACAGCATTTTCAGCGAGGGCAAACTATGACACTGGCTGCGGCCAGTGTAATGATCAATACTTTTAATTAAATTAAATCAATGGCATATAAACAGTCTAGATATAAAGTTAAATAATTTTAGAATCAAAAGAATGGACATTCAATGTCTATTGACTATTTGGCTAGTGTCCAAATGTGTAACGTTTGCTGCCCGAACATCCTGAAAGGCGCTACAACCTAAGCATGCAGTCGCTCTTAATTTCGGACTGCGAGCAGGCTATCTTGAGGGCTATCTTGAGACCTGTATTGAAATTAACAGGAAGGTACAATAGTTGGTACAAAAATTGTTAGAGAATCGACACTACAGAATAAAAAGACAATCACTGTATGCTTTTCCTTTTTTACCCCCGCCTTTTATACCTTGCCCCGTGAATGCAAACGAATGATAGCAAATAAGGTGACTAACCAACTCCAAATGCTTGTACTATAAATAACCATGGATGCATGCATAGTGCACAATGGGGGAAATGCACTCAGACAAGCACCAAAAATAACAGTCCGGACTGGCCCAGGACCTTGACCTTGTGCATCAAAAGACAAAATGTAGGATTTGAGTTACGAATTTGTGTGGGGAAAAGACACGTACATCACCATTAAATAATAGAAGATGATCTTATAGATACTTATATGGATTTAATATATAAATTGTGTGATTCCCTATTTCATCCAGAATATCACTGCAAAGAGAACAATATAGTGGCACAATTTCATGGGTTATGGACTCCTGAGTTTCGTCATAGTTAATATAATGAGAGTTAATTATATCTCATTAATATATTAACTATGGTTTCATTCATTTAGCCACAGTGTAGTAAGAACCAGGGGGGGACTACCACATGTTTTCTTCAATGTGCCCTTTTCCCAAGCCTGAACAATGGGAAGATCAGCATTTTCTATTCCTATATATATATATATATATATATATATATATATATATATATATATATATATATATATATATATATATATATATATATATATATATATATATATATATATATGCCCATATTTAGCCACCATACACCCTAATGTACCCTATTTCCATATTTGTTAATTTCATTTTGCCTGATGAAGAATGTGTTAGGCCTGTTTCAAACGTCGCATTTCGCATGTGTCGAATTCAATTGCTTGAATTATGTGCATGCAAAATTCGACGTCTGAAACGATTAAATGCGACGTTTTTAATTGCGGTCGACCTTAACTTTAAATTCGACCCGACCGGTCGCATAATGCGAGCTAAGTGCGAGCTAAATGCGTCCTGTTTCAGACGTCGCATTTTGCATGTGTCGAATTCAATTCTGCTAGGGTGGGGCTCGCGGAAAAAGTCTGGAACGAGGTAAAAGAAGGACGGCATGTAGTGTTAATGGATCAAATTTCGCGTGTAGGACATAGAATGGTAATAATTTCATGTTTTTCTTGTGTGTTTGTGTGAAAAATAGTCAATAGCCTCATGTCAGTTTATATACAAGCGAAAATAAAGTCGCGAACAAGAACATTTATACGGGACTACATAGACATAGTATTTTTTCGTGCTTTAAATAAGACGAGCGACGGCTTATTTCGCTGGTATAGTCGTATAAATGGCCCTACTGACATACTGTGTTTATTTTTGAGCGAAACTTCGCTCTTGTTGTTAAACCACAGCTAGGTTAAAAATAAATGTCAATCTATTAATTAAAACTATCAAGGGGGCGTGTCTACACTCTACAACACTTACAATTTCGAATTAAATGCATGCAAAATGCGACGTTTGAATCAAACGTCGAATTCATTGATTTCGCTCGAATGAAATGCGAATTGTATTCGACACATGCAAAATTCGACGTTTGAACCAGGCCTTAGCTGTGTGAATGTGTTACATCAACCCATTGTACCCAGGCTCTTTTAACCTTTTAAGGTCAAAAGGGTATTAGGTTCAGGTTATATGCAAAACGATTTGTTTTCATTTGTTTTTAAATAGCTGTTTTTATATATTGATGCATTATTTGTCCGGATGCATTGGGTGTCTTATAGGACTGTCAGAATCCTCATCCAGGATTGTAGTTCACTTCATTTCTTTCTTGCACAGGTAATTACAATCAACTGATCTCTAATATTTTGTTGTTACATTTACATTGTGTATATACGAATAGGAACAAAACAAATTCATTCATGCTTGTAATTGTGTATACAGAAAACTGGGAGATGAGGTTGTAAAAGTTTATAACTTGTGCTTTTTGCTATAAATGTGAAAACTTTATAACAAACATACTTGCAGAGAGGTGAGTCCGGGATTGGATGCACCGAGGGTGGCTGGAAGTTTCCTGAACAAAAAGACCCTGGGTACGAGGATGCCACGCGAGATGTGTCCAATCCCGACTCACCAAACCTGCAAGTATGTTTGGTTTTTATCCCATACACCGAGCCATACACACATTGTAGTTCTTTGCGATATATTCGTCAAAGTTTTGTAAACATTTTCTCGGCCAAAAAAATTGCTGGGCTCTTAATACTTCTTTATCTACGTCTATTCATATATTGCATTTTTCTTTGGTTTTTCTTCAGTCTTAGTAGGTTAGGTCACCGAAAAAGTTCTTTAATTAAAGTTAGGGTTTATCGGCTAAGTCATATTTGTTATTGTTATTATTGCAACGTAAGCAGTTTTGCGGGCAAGTTCGGCGAAAAGCAGGTGAGTTCGGGCAAAAAGCAGGTGAACCAATCAGAAAACCGCTTTTAACACAGGTATGGTATAATGATAAAAGTTCTTCTCAGGAAACATGAAAAATGTTCTTCTCAGACTTTCAAAATGGGTCACTCTAGAAACCATCCATACAATGCCTGTCGAAATTAGGACGTTATGGAGCGATGCTACCTCCAAGCTCTAAAGGTCTAACTCCAAACCAAAATATACACTTGAGTAACTTGTGTGATTCAAAACTGAGTTGAAATATGAATTGTGGAGTCACTAGCTAACTCCAAAAATCATTTAGGAGCTAGGTATCTAAGCCTGGAGTTACTGGCTAACTCCGAAAATCATTTGGAGCTAGGTATAACTCCAAGAAGCATGAAAAAATTGGTATCTAAGCCTTGAGTTTAATACGGGCTAATTGCCTAACTCCAAAGAGTATGTGTAGCGAGGTGAAGCCATGCAGCCTAGTCACTAGGTATGTAAGCCTGAAGTTACCTGCTGTGTAATTCCAAAATTCATTAGGAGCTAGTTATCTAGCGGCACACTTGGTATTCTGTTCTCGTTCAGCGGCTAAATTTTGATCTGCAATTGCGGCGCAACCCATTCTCGTACTCCTCGACCCTTGTCATGCTCTGTTGACCGCGTGTAAGACGGGCTCTGGGTACGAGAATGTGGCATAGCCTAGCTCCATTTGAAGATTGGCTACCTCCACAAAAATAAAATCTGCAGGTATGATCCATACCTTCTCCATGGAGGAAATTGGAAGTCAACCCCTTCTGCCCCCTTTGGATGCCCTAATACAATTACTATTATCAGAAACAAATATTTCTCCCCTCCCCCTCTGCATAGCAGAAATTTCCTCTGTGGGGGGAGTTTGGATCTTTTCAGGAATAATCCAATGCATTTTTTTTGTACAAGATCCTAACAACTTGCTCTTGATGGCACTGGTGCCTTCTAAATTATTCTTGTAGTGTAAAAATGAATAAGCTTGTTTATTTTTGTTATCTGTTACCACTTACCAGTTATTTTCAGTATGAATACCACAGAACATGAGATGTATTAATGCGTCTGGATGAACTATCAATAGCTGGGCATCAATCAAGGCAAACTACCAAAAATAGTTTGTCTGGACACAATATATACGTACAACCAAATGAACTAAAGTTGCTTTCCCAAACTAATCCAGACAGATAATACATCTCTAGTATAAAATTGGCTATTGTATTAGGTAAGCACTACATCAGGATCACCATGAAAAGTTTGCATCACACAACCGAGATCTCAGGCACACAATTTTGATTTGTTATGTCTGTGTCACTGTGTTTTTACTATTAGTTTTCATAATCTTGGGTGCACCATTTCCAAACTTTTCACAGGATGCAGAAGATCGTAATGAGGCATTATTTTATTTTTAATAACGAAAATGAAAACTGTGCCCTCATTTTCATGACAATTTAAGCTATAATGCACCAATCAATGTTATGCCCGACCCTAGGGAGAGCGGGGATACACGGGGAATTGACCTGATTTCCCTGCTTTTGGGGTGGGGATTTGATTTTATTTGACATCAAGGAAGCTCCCAGGGTCGGGCATTTTGACATTCTTGTTACCAGTCTCCTATCATTTTCGCAAGAGAGGACGACATCATGGCGTGTTTCAGGAATATCGCAAGGTGAATTCATGAATAATATCACTTTATTTCTGGTTTTTTTTAAATAAAATCTTGTTAACTTTAGTCTTTTTAATACATAATTTAGTAGACTAGGAAATAAATAATCAGAAAGGAGAAAATAATGATTACAACTGAATCCAAGAGCGACGAGAACGGCTCTTAGCCAATTTATAGCGTTCAGAATTTACAAATGCTATATTATATAAATATAAATAAATTGTTTGAGCAGATTATAACATCTTTGTAGTTTTCTTCTAACTCAGGGATGGGGGGCATTTGACTACGATTGACCACAAAGTGCTGCTTCACAGCGGGGTCTATTGACACAAAAATATTGAAAATGTCGAATGCCCCTGGGTTTGCCCGCTCTCCCTAGGGTCGGGCATAACATTGATTGGTGCATAAAGAGCAGTAATCTAAATGATAAGTCACGTATCAACTGGTTCTTAAAATTTCTATATGCTATATCACTATCGAAATTTATAAGATCTAAAAATACGCCTTCATAACTTAAACTATTTATCAAACCAATCACACCGTTATTATGGCATCAATTTCTGATAAGCAACACTTTTCGATATACAAGTGAAAATTATAAAAACTCACCATTAAATCCCAGTCATGCTGATTAAGTAGTTCAATACACTCATCCAGATTATCTATGCCTGTCACAGCCTAAAATAAATAAACAATAAAATTACAGACTATGTTCTCGCCTTTCAAAAGATCATGTCGTCAAGTTACCTGAAAATTGGCCAAAATCATTTCTCGATCTCCGAAGTCCGCCATGTTTGTTTCAGTTTTGATTATGACGAAATTGAGCATGCGCACAACAATAATTATAATGACGCAGAGCCACAGCGCCCTGGCTCAGCTGAGTCATGGTTCCAACATTCCACGGATGATTCAGTATACTTCACTGGAAATGAACATAATTGGAACGCCACCTTTTGATAAACTGCTTATCTTTTTCTCGAAGCCAAATCTGAGCCCAGACACGCGTATCTGGGGGTCAAGACCATAGATGGTCATAGATATCTTGGTCAAGACCCGCGTGTCTTGGGGTCAAGAAGCGACCATGCCGTTTAAAAAAACTAAAAGTATAGTCATTACCTGAATAAATGCATTAATAGAAAGCTTTGAGCGCTATTGAAAAACGTTTTTGTAAATTTTAAGCCGGTTATCACGAATACACATTCATGTTGACGGATTGACCCTACTCTTCGCATACTTCAAATCTCCGGTTGGAGGTAGCGTTCCAGTTATATTCATTTCACTGGTATACTTCGACGATGTGAAATAGTGTGGTCGATCGATCTGTGTGCCGTATGCAAATCATGCGAAACTAGAGATATCGACATTCTATATCGGACCTTGATGCATCGGCCACGTTAATATGTTCATGAGTGACCATAACACTGTTACGACTGAAAGGAAACCAGATTTTAGTTTAGGCTGCGTCCAGACTGGGTGCCCGGCACTGGTGCCCGGCACTTGTTTTGGCTCCCAGTTTGAACACGACGCTTTCAAATGAAATTGGGCACAGTGCCCAAGAACGGGCACTACCTCTAGAGGTAGTACTCAACAACGGCACTGTGCTCAACATGTTTTGTGAACCATTTTGAACATTGGGCACCAGTGCCGGGCACTCAGTCTGAACGAGCCCTTAGTTGCGCGTGCCACTAAAAAAATTCTTAACTCTGGATTTACGTGAAATTCAAAGCATACTTCCCAGCAGTTTGCCGTTCGCGGTTTATGAATTTAGAAATATTTTTTCAGCAATCGTGACTGCATGGATCATCGGAATGTGATTTTCTAAAGTTTTCAAACTGAAGCCTGGTTCACATATATGCCTGCGACGTGCCTGCGACGTACCGGCGACGATGCCGATGGTAGCTTTAAAACGTAAATTATGTGAACATTTGTTCGCCGATTGCCTCCAGTGCCACAGTTACATCGGCGGTAGGCCGGGAAAGTTGATTTGAGTTCAACTTTGCCGGTATTTCGGCGGCAAGTAGAGACATAATGATACGTACAGTTGCAGGCATGCCGCAGGCATGTGTGAACCAGGGCTCAGACGTATGTACAGATATACATAAACCAAAACAATGGGTTAAATAAAGTCCGACCTCTTAAGTTCGTTGAGAGATATGGGGGGGGGGGCGTGTGCAAAATATAACTTCCAAGTTTAATTTACAGCAAATCAGTTTCACAACTTAAGGCATAATGAGGACGAAAATTTCTTAATACTACATGAAGAAACCCACATTTTAATATTTTTGTAATGACGTGTTTATAGTTTTTCTAAGTAATTCTTACGGAGAAATGAGTTTAATATGCTCATGCATCAACATTGGTAATCTTGTTGACAGTGGCGTAACGGGAGGGTGTCAGGGTGTCCAGTGACGGGGGGGGGCGAACTTTAGGTGCCCCCGACAAAAATGACCTTAAAAAATTTGATAGCACATTTCTGGGGAATTGAATTAATTGAATTGAATAGATAGATAGATAGATAGATAGATAGATAGATAGATAGATAGATAGATAGATAGATAGATAGATAGATAGATAGATAGATAGATAGATAGATAGATAGATAGATAGATAGATAGATAGATAGATAGATAGATAGATAGATAGATAGATAGATAGATAGATAGATAGATAGATAGATAGATAGATAGATAGATAGATAGATAGATAGATAGATGGTTTATTTGCAAAGCATTGCAGCCAAAAGCTGAATTACGCTAAGAATTACATATAGTTTAAAATTAGAATAACTATTAAAAATTTTAAAAGTTTGGAGCCAAATGGCAATGTGCGTATAAGTTGACTATAATTGTCTACTACTATAACTAGGTGCGCATTTTCAGTGCATTGTGAGTTATGAAACTATTCCTAAATCGGTCTGTTTTAAAAAGCTGATTTTTAAAAAGTCGTTTCTTCCTAAGATTAATTTGGCATTCGTTTACAGGTGGTAAAAGTTTGTTCAATTTGTGACTTGGCTCGCTAATAATTTGCTGGAATAGTTTGTCTGTTAGTTGCTGTCTTCGTGCTTCTAGGGGGACCAACTCAGCAACGGAGAGAGATTCATCATATGATAAGGCTGGAAATATTATCCGCATCGCGCGTTTCTGTATTCTTTCGATGTCTTTAAAATTAACAAGGTAATTTGGCAGGCTACCGTGAAATACTGGGCAGCCATACTCTGTAACAGGTCTTATACAAGTACAGTAAAAGGTAATAAGTTCCTTACTGCCCACGTTCGAACGTTTTAGTTGGCTCAGAAAAAACAAACGCTTATTCGCTTTCTTCATAATAACAGATATATGGCTATTCCACTTAAGATCGTTAGATATCTGCATGCCAAGGAGTTTTACACTTTCAACGACCTCTAGTTGCTTATTGTTGATGGTAATAGGATCGAAATCGGGAGGAGATTTACTGAAGCTAATACGTAACTCTTTACACTTGGACTCGTTTAACGTAAGTTTATCAATAGAAATATGTCGTGTAAGTTCATCAACTTTCTCCTGTATGTTGGATTCGTTGTTTCTTTCAACAATTTCAGACATCGTTGTGTCATCGACGTATTTCCAGAGTTCCGAATCTTGGATTTTCAAATCATTTATCATAATAACGAATAACCACGGCCCGAGTTTGGTACCCTGGGGAACCCCAGATGGAATAGTTCCCCATTCAGAGTAGCAGTCGTTACCAAGTTTGACACGTTGTTTGCGACAAGTAAGAAAGTCAATAACCCACAAAACAATGCTTTCAGGAATATCATACGATTTTAGTTTGTCTACAAGTATATGGTGATCGATCAAGTCGAAGGCTTTCTTAAAGTCAACTAATACTGTCCTGACAGTTGCGCCACTACCGTCAGTTGCTTTATTCCACGAATGCAGCATGCTGATCAGGGCCTGGGTGGTGTTACTACCAGGTATCGTCCCAAATTGATTTGGATCCACCTTCTTCAGAATTGCAGGCTTTACAAATTCTTCTACGACAAAGTCTTCCGCAACTTTCGAGAGGATAGATGTCAAAGATATAGGACGAAGATGGCTATTTACGTCAAGAATTTGCTTTTGTTTTGGGATTGGTGAAATATTGGCCAATTTCCACGATGATGGGAGTCGAGCTTCCAAAAAGGAACGGTTTAATATATTTGATACTGGCGCAGCAAATATGTCGGCATTGTCTTTTAAGAGCCAACTCGGTATACCGTCGGGTCCGCTTGCTTTAGTTGGATTTAACGTGGACAGTTTCTTGTTAACAGAAAACTCGAACACTTGGAGGCAGCAGCATTCGAACACTGGGCTGTTTGGTACAAATTCTTCGGTTTGTAAAGGTGTAAAATGACTCATAGGGGCAAGGAATGCCTCATTGATAACATTGGCAAAAAAACCCATTCTCTGGAAAAGGCAAAATCCGTCGAGAAATTTCCCGAAGCTGCGACGGATTAAGTACGTCGCGGCTGAGGTAAAGGACGAGATACTAGAATGAATTAATTGCAATTTCATTGGGTATGTCCGGAAAAAATTTTGGACCCCTAAAATGGTACAATGTCCGAAAATTTTTTGGCGACGGGGGGGGGGTCGCCAAAAATAGATTGTTCCGAGAAAAATTTTTGAAGCCTATTTTTAGTGGAGCAAAGGGGCCCAAAGTGGCCGATTGACGGAGGGCCCCCAGCGGTTGCGTTACGCCACTGCTTGTTGATCTAGAATTCTTATGGAATATGGACTATTTTTATTCAGCTAGCAAATTTGATGGACTTGAGGTGTAGGGTAAGGCGCATTTTCGGGTTTCCTGTGCTTCGCCTCTTAAGTTTGGCTGCCAGTACACAGGATGGGCATCATCGTAGAGACTTGATTATTCAACCCAAAGGATCTTGTCTAAAAGTACACACGAGTGACCACGAATGACCACGAGTGACCACGAATGACCACGAGTGACCACGAGTGACCACGAATGACCACGAGTGACCACGAGTGACCACGAATGACCTAGCCCGCGTGCAGGCCCAAAGGAATATGACTATTAAACACAGAAATCACTCGTGGTCACTCGTGGTCATTCGTGGTCATTCGTGGTCACTCGTGGTCACTCGTGTGTACCGTACTTTTAGACAAGATCGGCAACGCTACGATAAAGCAAATTGTGCAGGGTTCTTGTGAACTGACACGTGAATACGTATGCTCTCCCAGATAGATTGTTTCGGCTTTCTCAAAAGAAACATCAACTAGCTAGGGGTCATTTTTGACTACAGTACCTACTTGGGGGGCTACTGCTAAAAAGCGATACAGCGATACAGGAACTGGAACCTCGAGCTGGAACCGGAACCTGTCATAATTTATGCAAATTATCGCACTTAATGACCGTGGGATTTTTTCAGAGAGGTCTGAGAATACCATAAAACGCAAAAATTTAACCATATGACTACTGCAGCCGGTTAGTTCATTTCATTTTAAATCTTGCCATACCCAAATGTTTAACGATGAATACTATGACTGTTATTAAATATTACGCAGCGTATTTAACCTCTGTATTTAACGTCAATGAAGAGGTGATCATAAACAATCACATTCTTACA